CTCCCGGTTGTGCTGTGGTTGGCACTTGCATTATTATTTTATTTTATCAATAATTAAAGCAACCAGTGAGCACCCCGGGTTGTGTGGGGATATGCGCTTGCGTTGGTAATTTATTTTATCAACAATTCAAGCGTTCAGTAAATGCCGCGGGTTGTATGGGGATAGGCGCTTGCGTTATTTTATTCATAGTAAATTAAGTAAGCGACCAGTAAGCGCTCCAGGTCGTGTGGGGATAGGCGCTTGCTTTGTTAATTAATAAATTTTATTATTCATTAAAACTTATGAGGCTGCTTATTGGCCCATTGGGTTATTGGGTTAAACAGCTTGGGATTAGTTTATTAAGCTATTGTGCATGAAATTGTGTCGAGTTATGTGGGGATTTTTGCCTTGCTTCATATAGCCAATTTGAATTTCCCGCAAGTTTGCCAGTCACATTTGGGGAGAACCACTGGCTTGCTCTCTTCTCCTATTCAGTGTTTGCGTTTTTCTCACTAGGATCTGTAGCCATATGTAGGTCCTAATGACAAAAATGCAAAATCATATCCTCCTCACCCAACACTGGCCAGTGCCTATTTTAAAGAGTGTGCCAATGTTTCGGCTCTGAATTGAGCGCCAATCCATCGTGGCCAGCAGAGGAACCATGCACACGTTTTCTATTGGCTGGCGGCTTTTTGGCTCGGCTGGCGGGGAGAGGTAAGGGGAGATGAGTAAGGAAGACATGAGATGAGAATCCAAATATGTGCATCGGTGATGGAGAGAGGAGAAGCTAAACCTATATGTATATGCATACAACGGGCTATATATCTATAGCTATAGTTGTACACTGCTTATACGGAAAAGAGCTGCGCGCATTACTTTTCTCGCTTTTTCTCCCTGAAAGGAAGATAAGCTTTTTAAATGCAGTTGATAATTTGTACAACTATTAAAACAAAAACATAATTGTCAGGTTATTAACAATTTTTTTCTGACTTTTCAAAAAATGACAAGCTCAAAGCAATTAACACATTATTTTGCTTTATTAATAAACGAGCGCCTCTATCCCAATAATCCTGTGCACTTAATTGTTCTTCACTTTTATGATAAGTGAAATTATTGAATAATAAATGAAAGCATTCTCCACAACGACACAGTGCGCTCAAATATTTTTTGTACCAGTGATTATGCTGAACGCCTTTACCCAAACGCCCCATTGTGCTAATATCTTTATTGGATAATTTATATTTTTTTTACCACTAATACATAGCTTAACAGTAATAATACGATAAAGCTTAAATTAAATCTTAAGCTTCGAAACTTAACAATAAACATATGTAACTTTTAGTCAACTCATACTCTAAGCTTTGATAGCTCAGGTGGCTAGAGTAGGAGGGCAGAATATATATAACAATACGATCTAGGGAGAATGTTTCGTCGAGCAGACAGCACAGCAGTGAAGGGGCATTGCCAAAGACACGCGGAAATTAAAAATTGTAATATTAATAACACAAGTGCCTATCACTCAGTGACTTGGGGTGTTGGGGTGCTAACTGGACTCTCTATTAAAGAATAAAATATTAATTATTAACACAAGTGCCTATCACCCGATGACCAGGGGTGCTTACTAGTCGCTTTATTAAACGATATGTATTTTCAATTAATAGCACAACGGTCGTCAGGTGATAGGTGCTTGTGCTGTTAATCAATATTTTATTATTTAACAGAGAGGCCAGTAAGCGCCCTTGGTCATCGGGTGACAGGCGCTTGTGCTATAAATTAATAATATATATCGTTTAATAAAGCGACCAGTAAGCATCCCGGGTCACTTAGTGAGAGGCCCTTGGGTTATTATTTAACCTTTTATTAATTTATACAGTGGCAAGTAAGCACCCTGGGTCATTGGGTGACAGGCGCTTGTGTTATTAATCAATAATATGTATCGTTTAATAAAGCGACCAGTGAGTACCTTAGGTCATCGGGTGATAGGCACTTGTGTTAATAATTAATATTTTATCATATAATAGTGTAGCCAGTAAGCACCCCGGGTCATCGCGTGATAGGCGCTTGTGCTATTAATTAAAATTCTATTATTTAATAGAGAGGCCAGTTAGTGCCCCGGGTCATCGGGTGATAGGCACTTGTGTTATAATATTACAATTTTTAATTTTCGCGCGTCTTTCGCAATGCCCTTTTACTGCTGTGCTGTCTGCTCGACGCAACATTCTCCCTAGATCGTGTAGCTGTATATACGATCTAGGGAAAAAGTTCCGATATTGCATCCACTTAACCCTAACCCAACGCTGTTTGTAAGTTTGTACCGAATCCCGTTACTGTTATTGGCTGTTTTTTTCCGTAGCACCTCTAGAGGCTGGAGGGTGGTTAAAATTTTAACCAGCCGCCACTTTGATCAGAATTTAGAAATCATATGATTAGTTGAGATCTGAAATTTATTTGTCATATTTTATTCTGATGAAGAGTTTTGTTGTTGTTGAAAAAGTGCCATGTAGTCCTTTTATAAACCAGCCGCAACTTAAACTAATAAATAGAAATTAGAAGTTGTCTACTGAAAATGCTATTTGTGGCCAGATTAGAATGCACCTTGTACCCGGAAATTGACCTTTGAAAATATAGATTTTGTATTCTTATTCCCAATGTTATTTACCATGCCTTATTTATCTTAATGAGAATTATAGATAAGATCTGGTAAGGGATCTATTTTTTTGAAGGCCTGGCTGACGGTCATAGACTACGGAGACGTAGATGGCGCTCTCCGTCCTCTAGTTAATTCCGGGTAGTGAGTCTGTTACCTGGTTAGGCACGGAAGTGCCAGGTCAACCGGATATTCCTAGGTCGGTCGCTGGATGCCCGGGTCCTTGACAATTGGAACGAGTAGAATCCCGATGTGGTAAACACCGAGTTTATCCCAGGAGATGATGTCCGGGTATCCTGAACACACTTAGGAACGTGATTACTTACTTGAACTACCCTAATCGATCGCGAAACTACTACAGAGAAAATACTCACCGTAGGTTTTTGTGAGGGAGGCGCCAAAAGAGAGCGTCGCAAGCTCTACCTGGAACAGAATCTCAATTCCAACTCTCTTTTGCATGAAAATCCAATGCCTTTTACACCCTGCAAGTCGAGTCAAAAGTCACGTAGGCCACTTGTTTGTCCTTGAATTTCTCCGATTAAAGCTGTTGTTTTGAAAATCCCTTCAAAGGTACGAATGGCCGTAGACTCAAGGCCAAGCTTATTTTGGTTAATGTGAGTCGTGCCGGTAGTCACGCAAGCCACTTGTTTACTTAAAAGGGCCCCTTATTCTGATGGTCAGGCTTGTTTATGTTGGGAAGAGTCATGCCATCAGTCACGCAAGCCACTTGTTGACGTTAAGGGCCTAATATTTTGAAGGCCAAGTCCGTTTATGACAGAAATAAAAGAAATTCGATCCCCAAATTCTCGGAAAGCTTAGAAATATCTGGGAAGGTTCTTTCCTTATCGTTATTCATGATCTTTCAATCTTGATCATCGCAATAATTATAAACTTTATCTTTTCCTCTTAAATAGGTTTTAGTTTTGCACAAGGCCCAGAGAGTGCGCTAGTGTAGCTCATATCTATAGATAGGATTATTTCCTAACAGCCGCAAATGGCGCAAATGCAGCGTTTGGTTAGGCGGATTCAATTATTCAATATCGGAACTTTTTCCCTAGATCGTATGTATAGCTACATGATCTAGGGAGAATGTTCCGTCGAGCAGACAGCACAGTAGTGAAGGGGCATTGCCAAAGACGCGTGAAAATTAAAAATTGTAATATTAAAACACAAGTGCCTATCACCCAATGACTTGGGGCGCTAACTGGCCACTCT